TTTCCTGGGCTCTGATTATTCCTTCTAAACTTGCAGGGTTTTGCTGTCAGTTGGTTCTCACTTTGTGAGATTCTTTCACCATCACATTATATGGAAGTTCTGGCATTGAGAGGAGAGACTGTTATCACAGTAGTCATTACTTCTCAATTTTTGTAAAGCCAGGTAAGAGGATCCCAGAAGACGAAGTTAATACATTTTGTCCTTTTGTTTGGACCAGGAAGAACCAGGAGAATCAGGAACTAAAAATGGAGCCATGAAAGATAGGAGCAAGAAGTCAATAAAAAGGCTGTGGGAAGTGAGAGGGAGGATTGAGGCATTATGTGGGGGAAAAAACACTCAAGTCCAGTAAAGCAGCTATAGCTTTTTTTTGGGTAGAGCACAAAATAACAAATCATCTTGGATGGCTACAGATTTAGTTGTTTCTGATCTACTAGATGGTCTTGCCATTGTCCCCTTTAGTCTTTAGTGCTGTACTCAATTATCTAGAGCAGAAACTATCAAAGAACATACTCGGGATCCTTCAGCACCTCTGATGCCCAAGTTGGAGTGATTCTTGTCTGAGGAATTATCTTGTTAGATTATCACTACATTACAGAAAATGGCTAGCAAATTGTATATGGGTGGATGTATATTTCAAATCCATTACTAGATGGTAGCATATGACTACTTTCTGCCACCAAATCCTTCAGGTTGGCTTGCCCAGCCAAGACAACCCCAGCTATAATTTCTTTATTTCTTGACCTTAAGCAAGGTTTGTCACTTCCTTCCGTGTTAGGAGCTGGCAGTTTTTTACATGACAGTAGACTGAATTCTTCAACATGTTCCTTGCTTTTTGTGCCAGGGTGATGGTGCAAAGTAAAAGAAACTTTATACTTCTGTAGGTGGGCTAATAACTTTAAATCAGTGAGTCTCCTTGTGATTTCCTTTTCCTCTACTGTCCACATATATTTAAGGCTTTGGGATGTTCTTGAAAGTGCTGATGTGCTCTGGGCCAAGGTGCACTGTGGCAGGCCAGTTCTCTGCAGGCAATTCCTTTGGGAATAGGCAGTTTGCACAGATTAGAGGAACTTCCTTGTGTAGAACATGTATTGGAATTCAGGAAGGGTCATTAATCCATCTTCTTCTTATTTATTTATTTTTTTTCAATTTATGGGGGCAAATTTTGAAAACCTGCACTATACTTTATTCTGAGAAAGATTAATGGAATCTCCTGTGCAGTTCCATGGATTGCCTCTCAGAGTTGGGCTATAGAGAAGGAATTAAAAAGTTCTGAGAGAATTATTACCAAGAAATTGGTATAGAAATATTTCTGGTAAACTGGTCTGTTTTTAATAGAAATTTTGAAAAATATTTTAGATCTTGCATGTTTTTTTAAAATCCCATAAAGTTCTATGTCTATGTAATGACAGCAGTGTGACAGATATTCACAGCACTCCTACATTCCTCCCCCACTGCAATTAATTATACAGTTTCTTTCCACCCTCATAACATTTGTTCTTTCCTTCTCTTAGCTAGCTGCAGATATAAAAAAAATCTGTGCCAGCACAAGTCTAAGTCTGGTCTTTTATGTTCAAAGAGAGTTCTAAGCCTTGAAGGTGTACAAAAATGGATTGTCTTATGTCAAAGTAGCAGTAGTCTGCCACAGTTGAGGCTGTTAGCTCGAACATAGGTACTGAGAAGCAGCCACAACTACTCCTGTGCTTACTGACAAACATGGTTTTGGGGACAACCTAAGAACCGTGTACATAAGTTGCTGTGGGTTAGAAAAGGAAGTTCTCTGGTTTATCTCAACCAGAATTGCTGTTTGTGTTCTGATTTCTAATGATTTGCGTGTTGATCCAACAGTTTTGTCTTTTACAGCTTGCATTCAGAAGGGTTGTATGTTAGCAACATGTATGTTAAGTTTGCTTTTATTTTTTTTCTTAAAACATTTTAAATATTTTAGAAATTAGTTTCCCTTTGCTCATCTAGTGTCTTATAGACATAGAAGTATTTGGTGTTCAGAGACAGATTGACTTTGGGAAAACATTTATTTGTAAATAGTTTTTAGCACCAAGTAATAAATATTGTCTAATTTAACAGTAGAAGGATATATCTTAAATTATTCACATTGGAGTGAAAAATTATTTTGTTTTGACTATTTCTAGACTACTGAAGTTGCTAAAAATTGTTGGGTTTTAGTAGTAAAATAATTTTGGATTGCAGAGGATTTAGTTTACTGTGCTTACGCAAAGTAAATTTTGTGTGTGTGTTATTTCAACCAGTTATTCTTTTGAAGAGTATATAGGTATGAGCTTCATTCTTCCAATAAATGCCCTGATGCTGAAATGCTGGCTGATAGCTAATGTGGACACCAGCTTGAAAATTAATTAAATAAAATGGAAATTTCTGTGTGTAATGTTGAATGAAATTTTGTTTGATCAAAAGGAAGCATTTCACTTAGAAAAATTCTAACTCTATTTTTAAAAAAGACAATTTAAAAGTAAAAATAGCATTAAAAAGTTTAAAAGACTAAACTAATTTGAAAAACAAAAAAGAAAATATTTGTTGAATTCTTTTGAGGCACTGTTTGCCAAGCTTGATGCAAATTTATGGATAATTTAAATGGATACAAACCTCTTTCCATTTTTACTCATCTGAAAATTTTCAATAAGGTCTAACCAAGGCTTCCTTCCGTAACAGGAAAAATGAGTAAAGATGCATCAGATAGGTCAGTTATGATTCCAAGTTCAAAATCATAAAAATTTAAGCTGTTTCCTAAAATTATAAAATTGACTTAAACATTTTATAATTTTTATTTTTATTTGATTATGGTATTTTTAATTTTTCATGTTTGCAACACTTATGGTTTCCTTTGAAGCCTTTGAATAAAAGTGTATTTTTGTAAATGGAAGCTGTATCATGCAATTGTTTTCTGTCAGAAGCTAGGATTTAAATGCCACCCCCTGCCCCCAACCAATAACAACAGAAAAAACCCCTGTTCCTTGAGCTTCAAGATAAAAACTTGTATTATGAGTTCTTAAATACTTAAAAAAAAAAAAAATCCCTTACCAGTTATGCCACTGAAACAAACTATTGAGTATAATTTTAAAGTAGCTTGCAACATCGTCAGCTAAGCTAAAAGGTTCTCAAAGATAAGAATGGAGATATTCCCATGTATTCTTCGAGGTGCCTGTCGTATTTTTTATGATTATTTTTTTTTAAAGGGAAGTGTTACTTTTACCTGCTCCCTTGTCTTTTCCATCTTAATAGGCGTATAGTGAAAAATGTAATGTAAGGTGAAGGTGGTCTCTGGTTATATTTTTGCTTTTCTTTTTAATACTTTTAAACCAGGATTTAATCCATATTTGTGCTCTAATGCTAGTGAAAAAAACCAATAATTTCTTGTATAAAGGAAACTTGCAATCTCTTTAGTAAAAACTGAATAATAGTTCAGTAATTTCAAGCATCTATTTTCCTTCAAATTTCAGTGTTACTAAGCTACAAAGGATTAGACAACACAGTAAGTCTGTATTCCCTAATGCAAGATGTAATTTAGTTTGGAATCATCACAAAACTACTGTATTGGCTGGTTAAGGTAGTCTACAAAAACTATGTCCCTGTGACTTAGCATAGTGAAAAGCGTTTAAAAATAAATTGGTTTGATTGTATTTACTTTGCAGCATCTGTCTCTTTGTCGTTGCCTTCCCATGTCTTTGGTCATTCATTCATTCATGATAATCACTGAATATAATTTCTGTACTATTTGAGAACTTGATTTGGATTTATGCACTGAATTCCTGTGCTAAAACTGTCAGTCTTGGGATCATAGAGACTCAGTATATTAGTAGTTTTAAAGTGGGAAAATTGCTACATTTAGGAGTTTTAAGTTTATTGGGAGTTTTTAAGTTTATATAAATAATTAAAACCACTATGAGCTTAAGAAAAGAATTACCATTAAATAAAAGCAGGGCTGTAGATGAGTAGCCTACATTTGTATACTCTTAACTGAGTGTATGCCTGATAAGATGCAAATATTAAGAGAATTAAGATCTGGACGTTTATTGAAACAGTGCTATTTAATGATAGAACAGATTCAAAGTGTTTAACTATACAGAGTTCTCCTATTGACAATATGTTTTTCTGTTTGAAATGACTGATAAAAGACATGGTTTCAAAAGGTTATTTTCTTAAGTTTTGCATTTTCAATTTAGTTTAAATTATTGTTACAAACTGACAGCTTTAGATGTAATTGTGCTAAACATGCAGGTAGTATCAAATGAAGTTGTTTTGTTATTTGGGTTTTTGTTGGTTTTTGTTTTGTTTTTAGAATGTAGAGTTGCAGAATATCCATTAATGCAAAAAAGTCTGATGCCATGCATTTAAGTCTCCTAATTCCTGCAATTAAATGTCTTTTGGTACAGACTGTGTGACTATTAAGAATTAATATTTCATAAATTCAGGATGCTGTTTAGGCAGTGAATAAGGAGACAAAAATAATAAGAAAAACAAGTGTTTAAATAAAAATTTAACCTGAAATCAACATCATAAACCATAGTGGTGTAGGATAACTATCTATGTTCCAACCTTAACATGAGCAAAATCCTTTTTGATTTTGATTTGTGTTGAATAAGGAGTGTAAGATTTACCTCTTGAACAGAGAAAGACTCTTGTACTCAGATGTAGTACAAATATTTTAAGATAAGTTACTATTTTGGAAAACCTTAAATTGTAAAAGAACAGCAGAATGAAATAGGAAAGTTATTATTCACTGTGGAACTGATTATTTCTGATAAGTTTCTGTGTCACATCTATTGAGTAAAGTCTGTCTGTAGTTGAGGTTTATATATTTGAGTACTGTGAAGTTGTTGGTGCCTTTCTGTGTAACGCAATAAAATTATTTTTTTATGTTGAAGATACTTTTTGTTGAATTCAGTTCTTTCAGTTGAATCTCCTTTGCTTGCTTCCGACCTTTATTTATGTTGATTTTGCTTCATTTTTTCGTTTACCATGCTGTTCAGTTTTTGGATGCCAGGAGAACAAAGGTTTGTCCACTATTTGCAGTCAATTTATTTTTCAAAATTCAGTATTGCTTTTTGTGGTTTTTTGTTTGCTTGTTAGAGATACAGTAATCCTGTTTACTAAACATGTTCATAGCTTTAGTTGCCAAAAGAAAAAAAAAAAACAAAACCAACCAGCTCCAACTGAGCCCTTCCCCAAAACCCCCTTCAATTGTAGTGAGTACTTTGATTGACTGTATAAACCACAACTGTTGAGCAACACGAAGGGCAGAATTACCTTTGGTCTATGAAATATTTTAGAAAACACGGAATACTGAGTCTTTCAGCTTTATAGGTACATATTGACTGTACTAATGGATGTGTTGCTGCCTAGTGTTTGGGTTTGTTGGTTTCCCTTTCTTTGCTATTTATTTTATATGTAGCTGACACTACTTTGTGTGTGTGTTGTCTTTTTTTTTTTTTTTTCCTAGAAGCACTTGAAAGATATTACAAATATTGTCACATGCATTTGCTATTTAATAAGATTATTTGATACACTTTCCTCATTGAGTCTAATGAATTTTTATAGCAGCATACAACAAAAGTTTAATAAAGACTAATCCTACATTTGTATCCTAAAATGATTTTGGTTTTCTTTTTTTCTTTTCTGTTCTTTATTGCAGCATCTGCAAATGACAATCCAGGCACTTCAAGATGAGCTTAGAACCCAGAGAGACCTTAACCATCTTCTCCAGCAAGAAAGTGGAAATCGAGGGGCTGAGCATTTTACCATTGAGCTCACAGAGGAGAATTTTCGAAGACTTCAAGCAGAACATGATAGACAAGCTAAAGAGCTCTTCCTTTTGAGAAAAACACTGGAAGAAATGGAGCTTAGGATTGAAACACAAAAGCAAACACTAAATGCCAGAGATGAATCAATAAAAAAGCTTCTGGAAATGTTGCAAAGTAAAGGTTTGCCATCTAAAGGAATGGAAGATGACAATGAGAGAACTCGAAGGATGGCAGAGGCTGAATCTCAGGTTAATCATTTAGAAGTGATTTTAGATCAGAAGGAGAAGGAAAACATGCATCTTAGAGAGGTAATGAAAAACTCATTTATTTGTAAAAGATATTGTCAAAGTACTTGCTACAGTTTTAGAAATATACATGTTTTCTTTTTCTACGCTCAGTTTTTCATAAAAAAGATAATGTGCATTTTTTTTACAACTGTAATAAATACACACCAGGACTCTATGACATTTGAAAACAAGTATAAGAAATTATGGAAGAAAAGTAATTGTATTGGGGACTTACTGTCTCCGACATTGTTGCTTTGCATAGTTTCTGTATTGTTTGTATTTTGACAAATTGGTGTTTGGCAAATGAAGACAAGAACTACCAAAGAGGGGAGTAACACATTCTGCTGCTATAAATGAAATAGTCCGAAGTGCTTGCTACTTTTCTGTTTGATTTTATACCCTTTGTGTTTGAAATGAGTGTTTTAAAATGTTTTGCCTTCCATATAAACAAAGGCTTTTACCTTTGTGCATTTCTAATGTATTTTCACATGTGGTACACAAACTTTTTAGGTAAATATACCACATAATGTTGCCACATTATAACACTGGGGTGATGGCTGCACTGTACTTTGAGAAATCCTTAATTTGATCCCAAGCCCACCTGCACCGGCTATCTACATGGCTTGTGAATGCATTTTTGGGATGGAATTTCAGATGATTGAATTAGTACGATTGAAAGAAAACCTGGCCTGATGTCAAGCCCATCTACCCCTCTACATCCCAACAGCCCATCAGCATTATAATGTGACTAGTGTCAGGTGAACAAGACAGTGTGAGTCTTCGTCAGAAAGACCCTGTTGCTTCCTGCTAAGAAGAGTTAAAATTGCAGGGACATGGAGTACAAGCTACCCAGGGGAAGGAGAGTCAGGACAAACAGGTCTGTTTCATTAGAAACTTGGCAACAGTGTAGTCTGATTGAACTTCTTATCTTCTCTAACTTAGAATATGTATTGAGGACTCTGGTATCTGAGGCCCATCTAAAGCTTGGAAACTTTGCAAGGCACAACAATACATGTCACTAAAGTTTTCTTGTGAAGGTGTGGATCCTGAATCTTTTCATAGGCAGGATTTTAATTAAACAGTGATGCCATGTGTTAATGGAGTCTGAAAGTCAATGGATCCTGAAAGGAGTTTCATAAGGAACTAATGATACTGCGTTTGTGGTGAGGGGGGGTTGTGGGAGTTCTATAAACTCACGGGCAAGTTTCTGGATTTAGATCTGCTATTCTGAGAGTAGTACATACAATCTGTTTCATGGATGGATGATTTGCTATTCGATATTTGTTTTGTTATGTGATTATTTGCATATCACTTAAGTTTGTGAACCCTTATTTGGGTATGTATTGGACGTGAATAAATTTACAGCAGAAATTTCAGGAAGGTTTTTAATTAGTGCAATGGTTGAGAGTAGTGGGAGAAATAGAACTAAATCTTACTTGACAAGGAGGTAAAAAAGTTAGCTTCCAAGTAAAGTCTTTAGGCATCCAATGTATTGATTAGTCCAAGGAATGATGAAAGGAGATCATATTGCTGCTTGTAGACTGTGCATGTTTCTCCTGTATTTATACTGAATTAGTTTTATGTTTGAGTTCCCCCTGGGTTACCCTCAGGGGCCAGGAAAAAAAAAAATCATTTCTCCCTCAATTTATATGAGGATTTAGAGATTCTTTCCTCTGGAGTACTGCAAGAATCCTATGATTCTATTAGGGATATGGTTTAGAGGTGGAATTGGTAGTGTTAGGTTTATGGTTGAACGTGGTGACCTTAAAGGTCTTTTCCAACCACTGTGATTCTGTGAAGTATAGGATGGGGCTTACTGGAGTTTCAGCTTATGACATGCTGATGTGCCTTGGTAACTGGTCAAGGTTTAAAAATTTACTAAGTTTGCTGTCTGGAATCTGTCCATGTCAGATTGGCAGGAGCTATCTAGTGATTTGGAGACTTTGGCTAACAATTTCCTTGCTATTATAAGAATTCAAGGCTTTGGGTGAAGTCTTCTGTCTTCCCCTATCTCCTTTTGTGCATGGTATTTATGGGCTTTAATTTAATTTTATTTTTCCTGCAGATTTGAAGTTTGTTGTAGGGAGCTTGGAAGTATGATGTGCAGGGTGTATGAACTCCATAGAAACTACATGTTGAAACAAAATGTTTAGTAGATGCCTGCTTGTTTTTTCAGGAATCTGAATTTGATTGTTCAAGTCGGCTCTTGGAAAATGTTCTGATGTTAAAAATTTGTCTTGTGCTGTCTTGTTATGGGAAGTTGTCTGCAGGCTTTGGGGGAATATCAGATATTTGTTAGAGTTTTATCCATTTGTTAAAGTCCAAATGGATCAATGTTGATCTTCATATGTAGCTTGGTAAATCTTTGTTGTTCTGCAATGCTTATTTGAATTACTGTCACTGCATGTAGTCTTCATCCTGCACAATACAGTTTTCCAACATGATAAAACAGGAATTACCGTGTTGAATCTTCTGCAGTGATCTCCTCAGTGGATTGATATTTTTATTTTTTTAACTAGTGTTTGTAAGTTTGCTTCCTAACTATGTAAATGGCCTTGCAGAGATACTGGATTATTTATTTATTATTATTTTTTTTCCCCTAAGAATGCATTAAAGCTAAACTGGAACTTGGATAAATTTTTAATTCATTCAATTCATGAATTATTTTATATTCACTCAAATTGTGTTAATTTTCCTATATCTTTAACAAAATATTTGTCATTTTAGAACTTAATCTAAAATATTTTGCCTTCTGAATTTTTAAAGATTGGGGTATAGAGCTTGTGTGTTGAGTATATTTCTGAGAAACTACTATATTTTCATATGTAACATACTGTTTGATCAAATCTTGAACATTTGTTTCTGTTTTTTGATTAGTTTTATTTTTTGACTTTCTGACACTGTACTTGAAACAAGTTAAGGAAGATAAATTTCCTTAGTAGCAGCAAATTAAGTTATTCAACAAAGAGTTTTTCTGAGTGTGTTAATTTCCCCTTACAATGATAGATTCTGCTGTAGTCTCCCACTGAAAGACTGCCATCTGTGGGGGAAAAAAGCTGAACATGGTGGAAATGAGGTTGAATGTGGAAAAAATAATTGAAGACTACTGATTTTCTGTAGCTTCAACGCTACATTAAAAAGCTTATATAGATTGACTTCTCATAAGCTGTGCTGTTGGTATTTAATTTAAAAATGCTTTCAATCTGAAGTTTTTCAGTTCTTGAAATCTAATTGTGTACCATCCTGTTACCTTTTCAATCCTAGCTGGAGAAAGGACAAGATTTCTGTGTATTTTGCTGAGCTTTTGAGTATGTTTTCTCCTACGCAACCATATGTTTCTCCCTTATGCTGGTCACTTCTTACTTCTTTAAATAGTGCCAAAGCTGGATCTGTCTTCTCTCTTGTTCATTCACAGTCTTTTAGATCTCTCAATGTGCTGGAATAGAAAGCTAATGGATGAGAAGCAGAAGAAATTGATTTTGTTATAATAATCACTGATGGGTGGAAATTTGATCAAATTGGAGAATTGAACTAGCAGGCTCTGAGAGAAACTGAGGCAACTGGTCATTAAACGTTGGCAATTAAGGACATCCTTTTCTACACACTCATGACTCCAATGGCTGTCAAGTCTATCTTCTTGACCTGTACCCTCCTGAGCACTGATTATACCAGGAATTGAATAGTAAGGGATGTGTTCTTTGCTATTCTACAGCTGCCTTTCTCTAGCTAGTAATTTTTTCAAAGTTCACTTAAGTAGGTAGAGAGAAATAACTTTTCTTGTTGTCCTTCAGTCTCTACCACTTTGTCAATTATGCAGTGTTTCTCATATTAATTTTCTGCCCATTTCATGTAAGCATGCATGTTACCAGAAACCAATAACCTACTGTTTTGATTCAAAATAATTTGCTGAATATCCAAGAATCATGTAAAATTTTGTCTTTCTTCAGCCATTGGTTGTTTCCTTTTTTCCTGTGAATAGCCATAGTAGAATTTTGTAATACTACTGCCTTCAGAGGTCTGGAATTTCTCCAGGACTTGGATTATGTTTCTTAGAGAAGATACAAGGAAGAGACGTGCAAACAGCTAGTGTACAAGGGGATTAGGAATAAGTCTGGAAAATAAAACAACTAATTTTTCTCTTTGTTTTCATATACTTAGCAGATTTGGACTGACTTTGGCATGTTAACTACCTGGCCCTCAAAGATTGTACCTTTCCTCAGTGTGCAGTCTACTGTATCTTTAAACTTTGTTTCACAGAGCAAACTTGTGGTGATGGGTTTACTCAAGTTTTATGTTTGAAAGTTTTATGAATGGCAAATTTGAGGATTATTGTACAGGAGGAGGACGGCACTTCAGCAGAAATTGGAATCCTGCTCTTTTACAGGAATAGCAAAGAATGTCAGTGTTGGTAAGGTTCACTGAAATGTTGGGAAATAAGCTATGCAAAAATGGGATTAGATTTCTTTCCATGTATTAAAGAATTTAAAATATGGGCAAAAAGCTTTCACAAGAGTAGCTAGTTTCCAGCTTTGCATTAGTTATAGCAAAAGTTTCCGAAGTTGCTGGTTCACAAAGCAAGAAAGAACAAATAAAAGTCTGGTTGAATAGCAAGAAGTGCAAGCATGTGCTTCTGCTTCAGTTCTGGAGATGCAGCCTACTGAGGAGAGAATGTTGGGCTTTCTTGCATAGTTTCTGAGAACTTCTGCCCAGTTTGAGCTGAGTTTTCCATCTCTGAGTTAGACTGAATCCTGTAACTAACTAACTTCACTCAAATATTTTTGTTAAAGTTTTTCAAAGGTAGCTGAATTTTATTGATGTTTTCTGAGACAAATGATACAGAATTTGCTTTGATAAGGAAATAATGTATCCTGTATGAAACAAAGTGGTCTTTGCAAATACACACACGTAAGAAAAAGGACATTCTTGGACCAGGCAGTCTCCCTGTATTTTAGTGGTTGAAAATCTGTCTTGAAATCATAATGTTATACCATGACATTCTTCATATTCAGAATTAAGTATCG